GGATGAGTTCATGACTGAAAAAGCAGACCACAGGGACCAGCAGTTGGCATAATGCCTATGTCACTGGACTCCCATGTAGTCATCCGTAGTTCTAATACTGGACCCAGTGGCTTAAACTCACTCCGGGCGCATGTGCATGTGTGCCCAAGATCCTGAGAGGAGAATGGAGGAGAAGGGATTGCAGCGTGGCCATCCCCCCTGGGGGGTGATTTCTCACTTTCTGTCTCTCTCTCTCTCTGTCTTTCTGGTGAGCGCACGCGCCCTATAGCAAAAAACAAACAAACAAACAAACAAACAAAACAAAACAAAAAAACTCTCCAGAAAAAGAAAAAAAAAAAAAATCCAGACTGCAGTTTTCAGCTTCAGTTTGCTGGCTATTAATTGTCTACATCCACCACGTTTGTATGCTAGATGAAATATAAACAAAAGGCCAGTTTTATAGAATGCATGAAAATTCTATGAAATCCATAGAAAAATCACATAGGGAAAAAAATCAGTGTCACTGGAATCTCAAGGTAGAGCTTTCGCTGTCAACGCCACTCTGCTCCTCAGGAACTTGCCTGGACTAGGCCCTGGGCACTGTTGGCTGCATGAGCGAGTGGGAAGAGGTACTCTCTCCCTCTCTCTCCCCCTTGCATGTGTGCTCTCTCTCATGAAATAATTAAAATTAACTTACAGGAAAAAACGATTCTTGTGGAGTTGCAGTGTTGGTTTTATCGAAAGAGACAGAGAGACAGTTGCACTGACAGGGTCTCACCACCTGCAGCCTGCTCCTGCCGCTCAGCCAGCCAGGCATAGGGGCGAAGGGGTGCTCCGGGGCAGGGGAGGGTGTTGCTGGGCCTTGCCAGCTGTGCCTGACTCCCAGCTCTGGAAGACAGGGCCTCCAGGGGGTTCACTGAGAACCGAAGGCACACGGAAGTAAAAGGAGACTCCGGGGATTCAGGGCCACCTACGGCTGGAAGTGTGGTGGCGGGCAGAAGGCCCTGGTGTGTCTGGCCTGGCCTTGGGCCTGTTCACCATGCATCCATGTGTGTGCGTGTGTGTGTGTCACCAGGAGACTGTCTTTTTTCACCTGAGTTGGCCTAACCTGACCATCCGGTCGGAGGCAGCACTTGGCCCAGTTCTGTAGCGAAATCTGCGAGGTAGAACCCCGACTGTAAACCCCCCAAGGGGACTGTTCGCAGAGCTGGGCGCCATCATCACCATCGGTTTTAGGGTATTTTCATCAGCCCCCAGATCCCAGTAGCCAGCGCAGTGTCTCCCACTCCCACCCCTCCCTGGCCCCGGCAACCACGAACCCTCTTGCCATTGCTGTGGATTCACTTCTGGCCGGCTCAGATGTGGGCTGCAGGTGCTGTGTCTGGACTGCAGGTTTCTGGGGTCCAGGTTACTTCTGCCCCACCTTGCTCGGTCTTTCTTCCCTGGGAAGGCATTACCTGGTCCTCTGCGCTCCCCCTGCTGTTGGCCCTGCTCCAGCCATGCGCATGCAGAGGGACACACTCTGCAGGGAGGCGCTTGACGCTTGGTACCAGTGGCATGCAGCACCTGGGCAGGGTTGGGCCTGCCGCTGGACAGGCCCAGGGAGGAGTCATGCCCCGCTCGCTCTGCGCAACTGGCTTTTCCACTCGGCAGGTTTTTGCTGGCATCTCCACGGGTGCTTGGTTCTCCTCCCTCCAGCTGTTGAGGGACACTGGTGTTGTCTCCATGCCTTGCACTGTTAAATGCGTGTTGACACTTAGTCCAGAATAAAGGTCTCTTTCACCTGAGACAAGAACTTAGCACACTTTTTATATATACAATATAATAAAAAAATTTATTTAATTTTATTTATTCATTTATTTATTTTAATTTTACCAGAGAGACACAAACACACACACACACACAGAGAGAGAGAGAGAGAGAAGGAAAGTGAGAAAGCAAGCCACCAGGTCCGATACTTGAACCGCAGTCAGCCACGTGGGAGTGTCCAGCGCCTTATCCACCATGCCACCTGCTGGTCCCCTATACAATATAATTTTTAAAAATAACGGCCAGAGGGCAATTAACATCTCTACATACATCTTTTAAGAATCAGGGTTTGGGGGCCAGCAGTTGGCATAGCAATTATGTTGCTGGACTCCCACGTTGCCAACTGTGGTTCAAGCCCCAGACTGGGTGGCTTGAAAATCACACCAGGTACATGTGCATGCATGTCCCAAATCCTGGATTGCAATGTGGCTGTCCCCCAAGGGCTGATTTCTCACTTTCCCTCTCACTGTCTCACTCTGGAGACCACATGTGCTCTATGGCAAAAATCTTAAAAAGAAGAAAAAGAATAAGGGATGTAAGAATAAACGATACTCTTAACAGACCTCTACAGATTAATATTCTCACGACAGCATCTATGGACCGGTCCTAGGTCTCTGCAACCTGCCCATCTTTTTGTTATTTTGTTATTATTATTTTTTGGAGAGGTTTTTGCTATAGGGTGCGTGTGCTCACCAGAAAGACAGAGACAGAGAGACAGAAAGTGAGAAAGCACCACCCAGGGGGGATGGCCACGCTACAATCCCTTCTCCATTCTCCTCTCAGGATCCTGGGCATGCAGGCACATGCGCCCGGTGTTAGTTTAAGCCACCAGGTCCGGGACTCGAACTGCAGTCGACTACATGGGAGTCCAGTGACATAGTCATTATGCCAACTGCTGGTCCCTATTTTGTTGTGATTTTTTCTTGTTCCTCCCCGATGTCTTCTCCCTGATCCAAAGTCCAGTGTGAGTTCAGGTTTGCCTGGTGTGCCTCTTTGATCTGTCAGCCGGGAACGACACCTCACTCTTCTTATTTTTTAGTTTTTGGTTTAGGGCACTTTGCTTGACAAAGAGACAGAGAAAGAGGGAAAGCGAGAAATCAGACCCTGGGGGGACGGCCATGCCACCATCTCCTCTCCAGTCTTCTCTTGTGTTTTGGGCACGCACACATGTGCACCCTGTAACATTTTCAAGCTGTTAGGTCTGGGACTTAAACCACATAGCCAGCCATGTGGGATCCAACACCTTAAGCTCCATACCACCTGGGGGTCTCATACCTCACTCTTTTTAAAGGCATGTTCTGTATTTCCCGAGAGAGGTGGGGAGACAGGAACCCTTGGCAGGGCCTCATGCCCAGGCCTCCCCCAGGCTGCACAGACAGCTGGGTCCTGGTGTACCCTCCGTACCCGATGTGTTAAGGCAGGCCCAGGGTGGGAACCTGGAGCCAGGAGCAGCACCTTATGGCCGCTCACCCCGTGTGCGTGTTACAGGGCTCACACGGGCGCTGGAGAGAGCAGGGAGAGGGAGAATCACCTCCCAGGAGCAGTGGCCACACCACAGTCCCTTCTCCATTCTCTTCCTGGGATTGTGGGCAGGTGCTGAGTCTGGAACTTGAACTGTGTGGTTGGCCCCAGGCCCAGTTTTTTAAACATTTAAAAAATTTTGTTACTTTTTGCAGAGAAGCCTCCTGATTTTGCCCCGTGGTTTCCTCAGGTGTCTCTCTCAGGTCCCTGTGCCCCGTGTTCCCTGTGCATTGGAGGTCAGGCTTGGGGACTCGGGAAGCCTGAGGCGATGCTGTCCAGTGAGAAGGTCAGGGAGCGTCTGTGTCACCCTGCAGCAGTGGGGGCTCACGATGGCAGTTCCCCACCAGCAGTGAGGTCGCGTCTGATCGCGTGGTTGGGATGATGTTCACTCAATTTATTCATTTCTCTTTATTTAAAACAAAACCAATAAAAGATCATGATAGCTTGCATGAGTGAGAGCGGGGAGGGAGGCGCCCTCCTCAGGGCCTGGTCGTGTCTCACTGCCTTCTTCCAGCACCCCCAACCCCAGGATCGCGGCATGCGTGTGTGTTCCTGGAGCATTTCCAGGCTGATGAGGTCAAGGACTTGTGTTTGGCGTGCGGCCCCCAGCTCTGCTGGCAGGACACTACCAGCCGCCCCACGGAGGCTGGCCTCTTCCCTTCGTAAGGGTCCCTCTTGGGCCGGCTTTGCTGGTACCAGGTTAATGCAGAGTTCCCAGTGCTGAAGCTACAGGGGAAGGTCCCAGGTTCGCATCCTAAGGCCTCTCTACACACGGGCATGCATCTGCCCAGGCTGGCAGAGGCTGGTGGAGGAGGGTATGTGTGCTTTGGTTGGGGGGTTGGGGGAGCACCTTGACCTCGGTTGCACTGCAGACCTTTCCCCTTCATCTCTCCGTCCTGTCAGGATCTTGGGCACACATGCACACGTGCCCAGCATATTTTACAAACCTCTACGGCTGGGATTGCAACCGTAGCTGGTGTGTGGGATCTGGCTTACTGTGCACTATGCTTGGCTGCTGTGCTACAGAGACAGCCTCCTCCCCTCTTTCGGTTTAGTTATTTCTTCTGAGAGACAGACAGACAGGCAGACAGACAGGCACACCGATAGGGTCTTCAGGCTCTAGCCACAGTGCATCCCTGCCTGGTGTGTACTGGGCCGCCCTGGGACACTCACCCAGGGCTGCCACTGTGCCCCGGCGTGAGCTCACAGATCCCATCTTCGAAGTGTAGGGCCTGGCTTCTGTGTGGCCTCTTTTTTTTTTTTTTTTTTTTTTTAGGGCTTTTTCTATAGGGGGCGGTGGTCAG